CTATCACACCTTGATGAGTTAAGCACCAGTAAATTTAACCTTACTACTACTGTGCTTTTCACTGAGAAACGCAATTCTAAACAATTCTGCTCATTGTCATACTTAATAAAAATATCAATCGTAATTATACTGAACGGCGGTTTCCAGTACGGATGGATATAGCATACATCGACGGTAATGAACAAAATATTATCTTTAAAAAACATGATCTTACACTGAATTGATCTGATTCCGAAATATTCTGAATGCCTTAACTACTAATCTTAATTTCAGATTTCTGCACTAATAATTTGTGGGGTTCGGCGTATATTTCTAGCGACTGATGAGGAAGAAAGATGTAAGTAGGGTTGGCATAAAACCGAAATAACACCGAAATATGCGATACGACCTCGCTACGTGCCTGTTCTTTCTAACGTTCATGACGACTGCTACTTGCAATCTCACCATTGTCTACTACTCCACAGTAAAGTACGTCTGTCAACAATTATTTCACTTTCACGCGGAATTACACACTTCGTTTTTGCCTCATGTCACATGCTAACACTATCGACACTATCGAACATTATAGTATATATACCAAATATACTGTCGACGTGCAACATGACCTGTTTAAAGAGGAAAAGGTGAGAATGAAAGAAAAATGAAGGAACAGAAACTGGTAATTTAAAAGATGGACAATGGTCCGTATAAGATAACTGAAGAAATAAAACCTATTTGAATGGTCGCTGCTAGACAAGTTGCTTATATAGTTCGCATACTTACGATATTCAAAAAACAATTTATATAGCATGTATGGAACCATAGATTATATTTATGTGGCTTTCTACCTATCAACAACGTATCACTACATGAAGTTCAGGAAAAAAAGTCACTTGCTAGGTTATCAAGTTTTACGGAACTTAACCCTGGCCAGTTCAAAACATGAATTTGATGTAGTACACATTTTTCAACCGAACGGCTATCAATAAACATCAGCTTGAATCATTAAACATCTCACGTGTTCAAAACTGTCTGGAGAAGCTGAACTGAACTTATAACGATGGTATGTCTTCAGCTATGTAATGCTCATATTACGTTCATTAAATTCAAACCTGGCGTAGCAGCAACTCAGCATGCTCACAGAGGGTCGCTGGTCGGCAACAATGATTTCGGCAAAGAGCCAAAATATTTCGAGGCAAATGATTATGTATAACTCTTTCCATTTGCAAAATATTGCTGTGGCGACCCCACTGACTTGAGGAATAAGACTATACAACCAGAGGTGTCAGCTCATCGCGTGATCGGTACTCTAGCATCAGCTATAGATAATGACGCGACCAGGAAAAAAAGCCGAATCCACGGGGCATGGCCAAACGAAATGAAACTAACATCTCGCTGACCAACCGGCGTAAGACCAGGAAGGAACAACCTGGGCCTAACGTTTGCCTTATCAAATGGCGCACGACCAACAAGGAACCGTCCAATTCTGGAGTCTCAGTGGCCTTTTGACAGTGAGGAACTAAAAGGGACTATAGTTGTCAATTGAACTCATGTCAACTAAAGTATGTACCTACGTATGTCTGCATACTTCTAAACTAAAACATTTAGTTATGGCACCGCAGTCGAGTGTCATGCTGTTAAAAAATGGAAAAAAATCAGCTTATTTCCAATCCATGGAAATGGCCTGCAGATGCTGTTAGGAATGACAGATTTAAAAATTTTGCCTTGTCGAAATTACCCACAGTACGGTAACCACAAAGATGAATTGAGTTTCGGCTAAATCTGGTTGTTTTCTTCGGTCAGTAGGTCTACCAGATGTAGTCCAAACCCGATCCCATTTTGCGGTTATCGTGCCGTGTATTTAGGACAGGTAAAAACTATAAAAGAATCTGTCAAAAGCTCGTTTTATTTGTATAACTCTGCTACACGACAAGTATACTACTCTTCTTTATGCATCAAAAATGCTTTGACTTCATGAATTAAAAATGCAAACGCGTGCTCTAAGAACTCCCAGGTCACATTAACAAATACTAATCGATGAGAGTGACTTACAATTCGAAAAATTCGTAATACTATAACAATCACGAGTAGTTAAAGAGTTAAATAGTATTGTTATCGAACAAAAATAGGATTCTTAAACACGTACCCTCCAGGATATATCTGCGGCAGGTGTAATGCACATATCTGATGCCAATTTCTACCACAACCGACACATTCAACAAATGTCTCGAATTCGATCTGGTCGTTCTTAAGCAGTTGGAACTGGCGCTTTGAAATCAAGCTAAAAACAAAAAACGTCAAAATAAATAAATGTGAAACAAAAAGAATCAATTTTACTTTGAAGTTGAGTTCGGATCTTCACTCATGTTTATAACATCGCCAGGAAATTCCTCGAAACATTTCTTACAATAGGTGTATCGTTCGGAGCTCACGCCGATGCCGAAATGTGATCTGAAACACATCATAGATGAAACTAGAGCCAGAAGCAGTTAACATGCATAATATACTTTGTTTCATAGCAGTAATACGGCGCATCTCGCGGAATCGCACACATCGGCTGACCATAGCAGACTAGAGCCAGCGGAGTAAACGACAGCTTACGACCACAGCAATAGCCGAGACTTCGCATTACAGGATCCATCTCGTCGACAAAAACCTCAGACAGTTTGGTGCAAAACTTGTAAACTTTGGAGTTTTTCCGGTTGTAAAGCCAAGCATTATCAAACATAAGCCAAATATCGTCGCAAAACTGCCAGGGATCTGTGTATAACCCTTTATCCAGTTTATCTTTGATTGTTGACAAATCCATCGGATGTTTGATGATGTCAAAATAATCCTTAAAATAAATCAGATGCTAATTTATTTAGTAATTGTGATGATTTTAACCGACGAAAACTAAACTGCCATAAACGAAAGCAAAAAACAACAGAAATAATTAGACGCATCAGACATCTGTAACTAATTTCCTACAGAACCCGGAAGAATGTCATCCATCTACGACGCAGCAGCCGGTGCCTTATGGAAAATGCAGACAAATGCAGTGAGCATCACAAACTAGATACGTTCTGCATGTGCAAATAGCAGATATTAATCCTTACTCGTTTGACTGATTCCGACACCTGTTGCAAGCAATCAAGGTATATATTTCCGGTGTTACCCAGGATATGCTGCAGCGACACTGTACTTCCAAAAGTCTATCAAAGTGCCGCTACAAGCGACCGAATAGAGAGATTTAACCCTGAATTCATGACATTTTTCAAAAAAAGACGTATGCATCAAACGAATAGTCACGACTTTACCGATAGGACAGAGAGCGAATCACCAAGCCCTGTTGTAAAATATTAGAACCACATAAAGGAATAATATCGGCTAAACATTGCTTGCCAAGAATTTTCGAGCCAAAGGCAAATATAGCAAGTAGCTCTAACGTAGTAACGTGCAATAAGATTTTCCTTACCGGTATACTTAAAAGATCCGGATCGACGGGAACTCTAAACGGTATAGCTTCTTCGGTTCTTTCTAGCTTTTCCCAAACCGGCAACAACGCCTGCCTTAGTTCATCGACAGAAAAGTCCTTCTTCATGAAGCCAATTTTTTCCACACCAACCGCAGATACCACTTCTCCCGAATGAGTTGGCTCTTCTTTAACTTCGGTCTTAACAAATGCACTTGCAGGACATACGTTTGAGGAAGCCTGAACCAGATCAATGCAATTATATACAGGAGACCGTCATTAAATAATATTCGTCAAATAATCGTTAAAAAGCATACCGTAGATATCACTTTGACCGGTTCGTCTTCAGTCTTGAATTTTACAGTAGTAGGACCGGTGCTGCCTGATGAACTGACAACCAATGTTTGTCCCTGCGCGGCAGTGTTCTAAAACAAGCACTGAAAAAATAACGTGGACAACTTTATCACAAAGGGTTACTAAGCGTTAGAAAGACCAAAGATAAAAGCCTGATTTTATCATCACACGATGAAGGATAGAAGTCACAGTTATGCTAAACAAGAATAGTTGGGCCAAATGAAATAACATTTACATTTTGTAGAAATCAGTTTAAAAAGGGCAATTATTTTCAGAAGATGAGGAAACTGGTTCAGAATTTTTAAATTCGCTAGTCCTGGAAGACAAGCAAAACGAAAGAATTGCAAAATAATTGAAACCTGATTATTTACACCTGTTGTGCGCCGAAACCAAATGGCCTGGATAAACTGCATCACCTTGATGATCCTATCAGGGTCATAGTATCAATGGATTGCAGTAGCACTTACAATCAGAGTACGCAACACTCGACAAAGAACACTCAGGATTGGCGGGTCAAACTATCGATATCGATTGCAAAACGGAAGGGACCTTATGAAAACAATTCAAAAAAGAAATTTTGGATCATTACTTACGGCTTCGTTGGACGTCGTAGGGTTGTAGAAAACATCGCAACAAAATGCTTACCGCATATTGTTTAAGATATGTCGATAAAAAGCAGAATGAACCGCAAGAGCGCAAAACTTGGGTCGAGTAACCTGATCCTTGAATACATTTTCTATTTAATTTCTTAATAACCAGCTATGTTCATTTTAAATTTCATAATGTAATGTACAAACAGCGTTGCTGTATTCCATAGGTTCTTCTGTTAGTGTAGTGTTAGCCGAAATTCATAGGAATCCAATGTAATCTAATGCCTTAACTATATGTTCAGATAAGCGAAAGCTGCACTTTACTTAAGAAGCGCAAATGACATTTTCATTATGCAGAACAGCCCCAATCAGTTTCACCTACTGACATAATAACTGCGAAAAAAAATAATCACCTAAGAGTAAGAACGCAATAAGCAGATGGCGTTTCTTGATATTCTTATTAAACGAGATGCAATGATGCATTCTTTTATACACTACGTAGAAAACCACAATGCTCAAACTGCTAACTCAACACTTCATCTTACATTCTTAAATCTGTGTTGATCAATATCATGCAATGCATGAGTCATAAGGCTCTAAGTTACTGCACGGCTAACCCCTAAGAAGTGAAATCAAGCTTCTTTCATCAACATTCCTTAAAGCTAGATATGCCAAATATTTAACTGATCACGTACTTAAACGTCCCTAGTTTGATTGTAATTCCCTTATCGTGAAACCTTACGAACTAAACATGGAAAATAATCATATCATATTTTAAAAAATAGTCTTAAACAGGGTTTCTGCAGGATCGTAACCTTAAGAAGCCTGTTTTAACGTAAAAACGTTGGCTATCAAACTGCATGCAATATCTGTTATCCGCCAGATTTATCGGGCGTTAAAAACCAGATTAACGAAACACAGAGGAGCCATCAGGTATCGTACCGCTAATCATTTTAGTTTCATAGCTAATGTCCAGGAAAAAGGTCATGACCAAAACAACAGCGTTGTCAAGATGGTTGATCGACACCGTGGCAAAATGAACCGTTAATCAAGGGGTCGCTTCACATCGCGGACAACAGCAACAGAAATTGTAACGCTTGCGTCTGCTCCACTGATATATCCACGGCGTGGAGCATGATCGACTGCATAAATGGTGATCAGTCAAGCGTCCCACAAGTCAAACAAAGCACCAACTGACACAACAGCTGTTTGCCATTTTGTCGCCAGTTCGGTCGAAATGTTAGAGTTAAAATTAGAATTTTTCGCGTTGCCAACCGTGCAGTCAGAAGACCTATTATCTTTGTATTTCACTTTTAACCATAGAATGATTAAAAAATTGAATTTCTGTATACTTCATGAGGATTCAGTCTGTCTGCGCTTGTTGAAATAGAAACCGAGGCTACGGTCTCTAGGCTCATCAAGTAAGGCTTTGGCAAACAATATTATACAGATGATTATAATTAAACGGACAATCTCTACTCTATCCAAGTAAAAAAACTAATTACAGTTGAAATTAACGGCGTCACATTGACGGACGTAGTAGCGGGCACTCGGTCGACGGGGATCGTTTTGTTCGGAGGTCCTGTCATGTCGATATGGGAAAGGGACGCTGAAACAAAATGATGCTGTACGCCGAACGACAAACAGTGTGAAAAATAAGCGATTACCGGAAACGCTGCTAGAGCCGTGCAAGTTAGACGGCAAGGAATTTATCTGCGCCTTCGCGTGAGCTTGCTCAAGCCTCTTCTGCTTTTTCTCCTGAAGCTCTTTCTGGATCTTATAAATTTTTTCGGCAAGGAGGTGATAATATTCCTCCTATGAACAAAAAATTAAGTTGTTCGATTAATCATTAGTGTAACGTTTTACTTACCCTATCATTTGCAAGCTCAAACATTTCCTTCTCGACTTTTCTCGCATACTGTATCAAATCTTTGATTCGCTGGTCCAATATGGCAGCAGGGTCAGGAGAAGGAAAAATAGCTTTTACCAATTTAGTAACCAAATGGTTTCGAAGATCCTGAGTAACTTGTTTATGCCATTCTTTAGGCACAGAAGCACCTTCAAGTGGAGGCAAATTGGAAGAATACGACGGCGAAGGGGACGGGCTACCAACAACTTGATTCCCAATACGATAAGTAACACCGAGACTCTGTTTCAGCACATGCTCTTGAACAGAAACGCTTAGATTATCTGAAAAGCACATTGATCTAAATTACAGTGAGCCAGTAACAAAATATAACTATACTATAACTTCAAATTAAAAGCCCATTTATAAACTTGCAGTCATCAATCTATATTGCAGCCTATGCCTATTACTGTCATATTTAAATAAGATGTAATCCCCAAGAAGAATATCAAGAACACACTACGGTCAATACAGTTAGATACTCTCTACATAACCAATGAAATCGTGCCATTCTCAAAACTTTCACAGAAAAATTTTGAAAATATTTTTCTTTGAGCTACGCAAAATAACCAATAAATATGCCTGAGAAGCGTACGTCTTTATTAATAAGCAAATTCTGTCCAAAAGAAAAACATAATTATGGAAACGTTTTCCATGCAGAGCTAGACAGCGAAGTGCCTAACAAAAATTTCTTCGGTAATGTGATAGCACGCCTAATCAACCAATTTAACTTGGTGAATTTTCAATTTACGAAATGTCTCATTAAATTGTAAATTCAATGCGTGAACAGTATACGAGATGTTTAGGCAAGACCATCAAAAAACTAGGATCATGTTTAGCCTTGGCTTCCAGCTGCATTCAGACTTTATAAAAGACAACGCTTGTGGCCTCTGGTGCAAGAATAGCGTTGGAATAACTAATCAGGTTTTGAAAACTACACTTCTGTGTTTGCCGACGCATCTGCCAGCGAGTGTAGGCAAAATAGAATCATAAGCGTGCAAAATCACATGATCACAAACATTTGAATGACCGGGTCATCTTTTCAGAATTATTTGCCCCAACTGATTCTAGCAGCTAAACTTCCTTTATTTTCCAAGGTTCGAAAAAACGCGTTGCCATCTTAATCAACAGGTAAGCAAATCGGAGCAGTAAAGCTGCTCTAAATGGTGGCTGACTTGTTTTAAATAATGTGACAGTTCTGTTCAGAAGACACACCCGTTAGTTTGGAAACGGATAGACGGATTGCATATATTCTAACCATTAAAGCACCGCGACGTTACTTTTCCCTATATCCTAGAATGATCCATCGAATATCGCCCGGACCTTGCATATCCGTGAGCTGTTGTACATTTTTCAGAGCTTAAAAGATCTGAGATTGCAGTTTCTTCTTTGGTGGTAGTGGAGGGCAATAAAAACGGCGCCAATTTTATATTTTAGTAAATCTGAAGGTCTGAAATGCATTTCATGTGTATATGAACAGATTTTTTATATCAATATGTAGGTAGATACGCAAACAAGAAATCTTATAAGATTTGAAGGAAATGAATAATAGAAATTCACGTGCTAGCCTGCCTGTGGTTGCGTAAGACATCTTGGTCCCTAACAAGTCCATCATATCCACAGTTCGTTATGCACTGGAATGGAAAAAGAAGCCTGCTAAATGAATCCATAAAACACTATTTTAAGTTTTACAAAAAGTTGTTTCAATGTATGAATCATGGCAATATGGGTAGGTAACTGTTGAAACTGTTGATTGATTCAAGAGTAATTAAGACTTCCTTAATAATACACATAGTATAAAGATTTTGACGCAGATCCAAGGTTTCGGCTAATGTCATCAACCTTCCCCAGCTACAAAAAATATATAGCGGCACAGTCATACAAGACTGTCAAGATGTAACAACAGCTGCCTTTTCTTTCTTAGCTTATGTAATTTTCACCATGTCATCATGACATAAAAGACCTCATCTTTGTTCATGACAGTCTTTACTGGATTAAGAACACCCTTCGGCAACTAAGCGTTCTTTGTGGTGCCAACTATTGTTATCATGGTTGGGTTATTAAAACTGAAGCTGCTTCCTGTGATAATTTGATGAAATAAATTTCACAGAAAACCATGTCTCATATAGCTCAAATAATCAGACCATTAAAAACAAGGTTTGCAAAACACAAGACCATCACTAACCCAACTACTGATAAATATGACGCTTAGAACTAAGCTTCCAGCGGCGTTTCATCAAATTTCCATGGAAAGTAGCATTGATTTTAACAACGAAACTCTAGTAACAAAAGACGGCAACAGCAAAGACCAAGGGTCGCTTAGATGCCGAAGTGCTCTAAATACAGACAAGACCGAATATCATGAAACAAACTAGTCATCCATATCTTTGTCGCGGCGAAGCTTATGTAAAGCTCTGACAAAGAGAAAAAACGACTAATTACATCTTGACAATCTTTATGACAGTAGAGTTGTATACTGTTTGCAGTTGATAAAGTCTGGTAACATCGGCTTAAACCATAATCCTGTAAGGCTAAGTTCTAAGCTGTGTATTACTAAAGAAGTACGAATACCTTATTCAGTTATGAATAGTGTTACGCTGCAATACGTATGTTCAATATCGCGCATGTGTATGACTTGGTCGATCGAGAGCAAAAGTTTCACTACAGAACATATGGGTTTACACAGATAAATTATCGTTACCGAATGACGTATTAGTATGAATAATATGCAACAGAGAATGCTCAAAGGACTCCTCGATTTTGGATCCACATTTTATTAATCGAACATTTCATCATGCATGGATAGGACACCCAAACGTAATACAACGATGGTTCTGCTTAACAGTCGATGCATTTCGCCGGAGAACGTCATTTCATACCTTTATCGGTGTTGTTCATAACCGCGCTATTCAGCTGCACAGGCTGTTGGTTCAACCGTGAGCCCGGCAAGCTGTTTGGAAGCACTTCTGAAGAGGGTGTCCCAGAAGACAACTGGCATGCCCCCACTTAACACAGCATTGTTAGTGCAACAAATCAAAACAGAAAGCTTCCAAAAGCTAAATACTTTGTCTTTTGTCCGTCATCTGCTTTAACGGCAAACACACAGGACAGTCGGATCTCGTGCAATTCTTCCAGTGCGCAATGATTTGCCTCGACGATGCACAGTGAGGTACTAAAAGAACAAAAACTCTTCAGATACTGTACGATGTTAAGTTTACAACCATAAGCTGCTGATCTATCAGCATAATAAATTTTTAAACATTTCAATATACTTAAAACAATTCATACATATTTAAATTATGGCCGAAACTAAGTGAAAGTTGACAAGAAAATGAAATACAACAAAACTTTGCCACATTACTATTCAAACAGCTGCAGGGTGCAAACCTGGTCAAAGAACCTCTACCGTAAAACTAACCCGTTAGAAAGACATTTCCTAGACATCCGCATGCCTTAAGATTTCATCTTGTCACATCCATCATTTAAACTGTCACGTTCGCCCTCGTCACACAAACAAATACAACCTTAGCTAAATCTTAGTCACATCTAGGTGGTCTACACAGCTACTGCAGATTTATCGCCTTGGTAGATAATCACATCTAAACCCCAGTTTCCGTTCTTATAATTTTCTTTATTAATAGTTGCTGTGATTCACAACATTAATAGCTCCGTGAACAGAAGAGAATTTGTTTCTAGACCACCTCCTTGTTCAAAGACCAGCTGTTCGCCAGCAGTGTGCAGGGCCCTTATGGTTTTGGTCTTTAGCGTTTCCGTTTGAGAAACATTTCTCCACATATCGACGGCGACAGACTTCATGCAGTTTAGCTTAGCTTCTTGAAGCGGAACACTACTGCAGAACATCACCTTAATCTTTCCAAGATTATCTTCAAAGCTTGAATACTTGCGTTTGACAGTTCCTCTACTCATGCCTGCTGTTCTTCTGGGGTCCTTGCGAACATTAAGAAAGCCATCTGCAAAAGGCAAATATCTCGGGCAAATTCCATAGGCGATTAATACTTTACCTTTCTGGACCAGTGTATAAAGTTGCCTTCCATGGCGCGGAGAAAGTTCATGGATGTAGTTTTGAACCGTCAGACATCCTTCCAGACAGTTATTCTTCGGCTGCTAATATGAAGTCTGAATAGCGCTAGATCTAGGATGATGTGAATTGGTCAGCGTATTCTCAAATGTTTGATTCTTCAGTCACAACATTTAAGATTATGGCGTCGAAAGTTTTCCCGTGCTAGACGAAGCCTAGGAACAGACGCATCTCAAATTCTTCTAACCTGGGACATTTATGAATATACCTTAAGACAGTCTATGGTGTAAAATACTATTCTAAGTTACATTTCTGCGCTGGTCGAGATGAATTAGCGTGTTCTATATTTTATCAGTAAGTCAATATATAAAACCTTATCCTTACTGAATGGATAGAAAACGTGCCACATATACTGCAATAGCTAAGTTAGAACAAAAAAGAAAGGTGTCCAGTTTTTCAGTCTGAATGTTTTGTAGTAAAAGCATTTTTATCCTAAATAATTTCGCTTCAGGGCAAATGAATACTTGAACCTTTACTTATCTTCAATTTCCTACTATTTAGATTCAGATATCACTGTCACCACTGCAGCTAAAAGCATTATTACACCGCGCATGCAATTTTGGATTTTATTCTTGTTTGTTCTGCCGTTCGACAATATTTAAAGGCGATTTTGAATATGCAGAGCCTATCAGCAACAGTACTGTAGCGATAGTTTGAAAGAAAGCATTAACACGTATTACTCTTACTTTACGCACTACGATAGTGCCGTCGTCTCAAAACACCTTTCCATTTCCTTTAACAGAATACTCCGTCTCAAAAGTACCATTCCTAAGTATGTGCTGTTTTCCTGAATAAGGCAATGTTCCCTACATTGTTATCAAAAGCTTTAATAAATGAGAAAAAGGAACGAACACAAAGAAACAACACACATTGGCGACCGCGCGTATTACAACGGTCGGTTACCGCAAAACGGGGTCAAGGATTTAAAAGTCATTTTTGATCAACGAAGGTACGAATACGTCGTTTGTGTTGCAAAAACTTTTAGCTGATAACGTTCGTCAAGTCAAAGTAGGATACAGTGACGCTTTACGATGATTTATGCAGTGATGCGGGTTTCTATAACAAATAGAACCACTTTTCCTCGTCGTATCTTTGTTGTAGCTCTTATCCGCCAATTTAACATTAAGAAATTAAATTTTATCCAAACCATCGTAGTATTCTCACATCTTTAACGAAGACTCGTGTTTCAGGTTCACAGGGCCGAATGACTACGAAAAGCATGTGCAATCTATGCTTTGTCTTCAAACACAACTGTCATTCTCACTGAGCGTTCGACTCCGATTCCAGGGCAGAAACAGCGTATGTCAGTAGCATGGTCAAAGGCAATAGCATACATCCCCACTTTCGATATACGAAGGGAAGATAGGTCTTCGAATTCTCATAAACAGCAATGCAATTAAACTTTACAAACCTCCCACCTGACTTATCAACAAAACGCTTCCGTCTTCAACTTGCAACTGTTACGCTACAGCTGTTTTAATATTTTCTATTATATGAAATTTCTCCCTATGGAAATCTATCTAAAAATGATACGATATAAAATTTATAGAAATTAAGTGATTCCGAAAACAAACCGCAGAAATGAGATTTCTTTTAAGGACTGATGGGACGATGATTGGCAAAAATCGTAATTTTCTCTCTGTCGTTGATAACTGCAATGGTTTGAACACGTTATGGAGAATCACCGGAGAAAATCGAAAGACGCACTCATGGCAGCGCCACATAGAAGAGGGTGCAGGTACCATCTGGGTCAATTATATAAAAGATATCACTGTCGCGCCTCGGAATCCTAAAGATTCAATTGGCACATCAGGACGATTCGAAACGTTTTCTTAAGCAGCTGTCACCGCGAACCACATGGAATAGCAGGCTTGAAAATTATTGAATGAATAGAAAGATGAGCAAGTTTATTATAATTTATAAAAACTTGCATTAAGAAAACAAACGAAATTACAGTTAAAGAGGGAAAATAAAAAACCACTCATCATGACTTAATAATTTTAAAATGTTTAACAGTCGCATTTAACTTATAACAACGTAATAACTGAAACAATTAACAAGGCAGAGAAAACTGTTATTCACAGATGTTAACAATTATTATTCATCAGTGCAATTAACAGCGCTTTTCGTTACACACTTCAAAGAAACTGCCTGCTTTTGGTAAAATGAAAAAAGTTGCAAAGTAAACAACTGAACTGCAGTAAGCGATGAAGAGATTAGGCTAAAGAAAATTAAAAAGTGGGAGTTTTCTTATCTTCGAACGGGAAAAGAATACACTACCAGACAATCTAGACAAGCACTTGTTGCCTAGAAATGCATGCGGTTAATGAAACCGTTTCAATAATAGTGCAATATCTTCAAAGAAATATTAAGACAGAACACTTTAAATCAGGAATTTAACGACGACTTAGCGACCATTTAACGGCTGTAGCGGAACTGAGTTTGTAACAAGAAACCAGCTAAGTAACTAAAAATACAAAACGAAATTGTGACTTCCCGTAATTAGATACGCGTAGAATATGGTCAATGATGTCGAAAGAAAAAACTTTTTAGTTCATGAAAAAACTAAACAGCTGTTTATACAGTTACTGTTACAAAAACAGACCAATGAAAATAAATTTATTACCGTGAGAAACTCATCATTTTTTCAAAATTTGAATTTGGCAAAAGTTTCTGCCGCAGAGAATATTGGAACCTATACCACTGCTTGATGTTCGCATCAACAGTTATAATTTAACCTTTAAATCATATGAATTGAAAGCTTACTTTCTTACTTCTTGGTTTCTTACATGAACTGACAACCAGAAAGATGATTACATCCTGAAGCATGCGTAGACGATAAAAGCCAAAAATTCGACTATATGTTTATCATCCCAGTGATGTCTCGGAATGCGGTACGGTTGTAAAAACACAAGGCTTCCAGAGTGCCAATACTTTCGAAAAAGCAGTAATGATTTTAAATTCAATTAAAATTTTTGGCACTACTACCGAGTTATCAAATTGATAACACCTGGCAAAAAAGTCGTCATGCAAATTTATCATTCACCAATGATGTGCCTGGCAAGCGTGTGAAACTATTTCTGGAAAGTTTATAAATAAACATTAAAGCTTTATAAACTATTTAATTACTTCATGGAAAAGAAACTCGTAACACTACTCCTTAGAATGGCACATGGCAGGTGGTCAGGGATAAACCGAAAGCCAAATGGGTTACATCGAACTTTGAGCCTTGTCATGCCTCAGGATCCAGTCAGCGGAGTTCGAACTTTTGACAGTGGAGGGGAATTATAGAGAAAAAACTAAACCCGTAACTCGAATAGGAAATTGGGTTAAGAACAAATTGACCAAATCCCTTTAGCATCAATCCAGTATGTGAAACTACAATATCCAGGATTTGAAAAGCAGACAACCTAAGAAACACCCAAAAATTTCTTCTTCAATCAGTGATATGAGGGAATTCGGAAGTTTAACAGTTAACTCGATATTTTTTATAAAATTTCCACACATTAACTTTAGCAGACAGACAAACTAACCGTTAAGCTTAATCGAAAACTGAGATGACTTTAACTAAATCCTATCGACATGTCACTTTACGGCATGGTGAAAATGCATGCTCGATATTTGCTGATGTAAATAAAACAAGATTGGTCACATTTCTACACATATAAAATGATATTCTTAACATACAATGCGAAATCAAATCAAAATCAGCAAATATCAAAGCTGATTTCACACCACACATCATCATAATCCAAAAAGTTGATAAAAAAACTAAAGATGTATCTGCCTCCTTCCCACAAACTCAAACTTCCAGGAGTAATTTGCAACTCTTATTTCCTTTTGATCATAGGAGTTGGAAAATTTTTACCTTCTGTTAAATCGCTTGCTGTATTTTCGGTATAACTACCATCAAACGGATGAGATATTCAACCATTATGCTAAATAAAAAATGCTAAATATGGAATACAGCCAGAGGAATTCGCTACCCCTTTCGTGCTCTCAGATACAGCAGCGGTAGCATCAGCTGTTTGTCACCTCCGTTAGTTGGCGTGGTTACCATTTCGTGAGCATCAATTCCCCTGTACAAAACATGAACCTACAGAACCGAAATTCAACAATTCCAATCACAGAAGATGGATTTCTATGTAAGCATATTCCTACGGTAGTGTATGGTATAACAATGTGAAATGTAAATATTCGTTGCAGAAGTTGATAAATAATAAAATAAATCAACTCTTTGAATTATGAGATTTCAAAAAACAAAACTGCTTTCGTACTTCTGGTGAAATACTCCACTCAATAAAAACCCAATTATAATGAATGTGCTATTTCTGCAAATGATCAGTCGTGAAACATTAAAAACATGAGAAAACCATTTAATTTTTCTTAACTAAATTTGTACATAGATTTTAGATTAAACAAAAATATTTTATGCTGAAAGATAAGTGTGAACGTACGCGAAAAAAATACACAGATTCAACAGGTACGAGGCAAGACAATATGTACCAAATTTGTGACAACACCTTAGAAAATAAATGACAACATGGTAAAACATGCACCAATCTTTGTATATTTTATCGTACGAAATTACATCGGAGTTGTATAAATAATATCTTCGAACTTGAAAAATTTTGAAGTCGCGTGTTATATTTCAGCTCTACCTAATCATCAAACGGATACACCCAGAGTATCAGGAGACATTACATTGTCTTAGAAAAGGCGATAAGCTCCCACCATAGGGAATAAGCAAAAGTACCAAGCAAGATACCAGAAAATATTTTTTAATACACCGATACCGTGTCGTAGATGACGAGAAAGCAAGATAAAATAGTTTTATTTACAATTCGAAGAATTTCAACCGAATTGCATCGGTGCCTGTTCTGGCGATGACCGATGCGATTCGGCGTGAAACGTGAGAATTGTAAACAAACTATTTTATCTTGTTTTCTCGTGCTGCCAACCATGGAATGAGAAGACCTATTACCTTCAAGATACTAGATTATATGCGTAACGTACCTTGGCAGGATCTTCCTTCCGTACAGCATGTCATGTGGTTCAGAACGTTCTTCATTGTTTGACAGTGCGGAAGGGTACACTGCGAGCGTTGACCGTTAGGAGTTTCCTTCTCGCGTTGCTGACACTTATGCGCGTGCAGGAGCAAAACCAACTGTTGCTGGATGAGTTTTCTCTTTTCGGGATCTTGAGCAGTATTCGTTGTGCCAGTCATCTGACCACCAGGATTTCCACCTCCGGTAGCCTGATTGACCATGTGCGACGAAGGTCCGACTGCCGCCGGACTAGGCGAATGAAGCATCTGATGCGACGTCGTGGCAACACTGGACGACACATCGGCAATGACGGGAGACGAGTTCATCATAGGCGACGAAATATCGCCATTCTAAAATTGATCGTGAACGACAACGAACTGGTCAGACACACAACATGACGCCATGGCTTACGTTCACATTGGCATGCGGAAACTGATGCCTTTGAGAACCACCGAAACCACCCTGGTATGGCGAAACAACGTTGTGTACGCCGGATTGATTAGCATTGGCAGCAAATTCGACCGCGTGTTGCCCACGTGCGTTTATGGCGGTCACCATCTGGTGAGGAATGTAGTGCGATTCTTGGTAATTCGACGCTCCCTGACCCATCTGATTTGGATTCTGAAAACGGAACGAATATGCACATGGACTAAGAGTAAAACAAAAGACATCTTTACCATTCCAGAAGAATTCTGACCTCCTTGAGGACCATACATCGGACTGTTATTCTGGACATGCGTATTTGGACCATGCATAACGCTACCGACAGAGTTTGTGCCTCCAACTAGATTCGAGAAATTAGAATTTCCAACACGGATGCCCGCAGATGATGGGTTATTCATCATGGTATTAAGCTGAGAAACATTTACACTAGGACGGATATTCGACTGCGTAGTGGTTTGAAGTCGATGCTGACTTCCTGGGGAATACTGAGACATTAAAGCGCCAGCGCTTGCGTTCATTCTGGCATTGTAGGGTTGATTCTGCGGCAAGGAAATACTGGAATCAGAGGAGAATCTGGAAGGTACGTTAGGTGGCGACACTAAATAAGAGCTTTTATGAATGAACGCGAAATATTAAACAGCTATACCAGAAGACTGCTGACCTTGTGCAAGCATATTCGAAGGTCGCTGTTGCTGTACCATGCTGCTGACCGTGTTCGACTGCGACTGGGCCGCGTTCACAGAACTAGCGGATGTAACTCTTAGGAGAAGCTCTTCGAGAACACTTCCGCTGTTCGTATTTACCGTTGCCACCGAAGATGTCGGCCCATTCGTCACCATCGAAACACTGTTCTGTTCGGCACTTACAGAATTTGAAGAAACTCTAACTGGCTTGGCAGAATGCAGAGGAAAGGTTCCGATGGACGACTCCGGAATTATCATCTGATTTGATACAGGCGGGCCGTTCGCGACAGAAGCACCGTTGTGGGCAGTAGAGGGTGCAGAAGAAAGATTACAGTCGAAAATTTTATTCTGCAAATGTTTATCTACAGCGGATTCCTGGTCGTTGGCAGCTGTGGTCGTTGCTAGAAGTTCGTCGGGTAGATGATCCGCGATGTTTTGAAAGTCGTAACTGAAATCTAAAACAAAACATTAAAACCAGGGCATAACAGAATAAAAATGGAAGCATGGACGCTACACAACGTTTTGAGTGCAAATACACTTACCAGAAGAATTTGCAGGAGTACCAGAGGAGCTGAGTTTTATTTTCTTCGCGTTTGGCTCTTCTACCGCCAACTGTTCCGCCATACGAACCAACGAGAAGTAAAGTCAAATGCCGACAATGAGCAACGAACAACAATTAGATGAGCTTCGTGTCAGTAATAAATAGAAGTGCAACCAAGGACCAACCAACAAGGAACTTTCAAATCATAACCATTCCACTACTGACCTCAGCGACAAAAACGATCGAAACCGCAAAGCAAAAAATCACATGTATGTGTTCCATACGAAGATCTTCAAACCTCTGACTACCATTCCATTCAGCCAAAGGCAACCCTCGACGAGGCTTAACTAATTAACGCACCCGCATCTACATTTATAACGCACCTTTTATGTTAAAACAGGAACGGATATCTGCCATGGTTGCACACTGTGCTTTGGCGATCACAGGTGGTGTCTCGAAGCGAAGAGAAAGCCACTTACATATCTGTTACAAAACTGCAATACTGTAATCAAAATATGCACCGTGATCACGATTCAAACACCAGTTCTGTTGGTATATTCCTAAAGAATTTTTATCCTTTCTCAGATGTTTCATACGCAAAGATATTTTTTGCAATACACCTAACAGAATTTCCGAATATTTCACCTTGCCAAATTTTTTTGCGGCAGCTTTTAAGATTTGCAAGCAAATGACAATTCTTGAAACAGAGTGTGACGTTTTATGCAACGAATCGACTCGTATGCATTAACATTTAAGAAAATACAATTAAATACCGAAAATTCTAAGGCAATCGCTTTGTCGATTGTTTTAGCTTAATTTTCACAATTTCAAAAGGTGAAACACGGTAAATACCGCCAACAGTAATTCAGTTGCAAAAATAAAGAAACCTTCTATTCAGAAAATAGCACTTTGCTCTGTGGCTTCACAGGAAACTTAGCATAAGATTTTCGTTCAAATCTTTACGCTTCCGATGCTTCCGTCGGAACCCAGTTGAAAACAAAGGATGTTGGCAGAACATGGCGAGAACTACCGCAACATTTAATCATTCTACCTTATTACCATTTAATCATCCTATCTATCTGTAAAAGGCCTACAGCTTATTCTAGTCCATCGCAACAGGCAACGTGTGTTCCTGTAAAAATTTTATATCGGCGGCCAGTTATTATCAGCCATGGTCGTACATGTTGACAGCAGCTGCTCATACATCAGAGTAAGAGTAAATGACACTAAGTCTAGACTTTCCGGCGTTCTCACTAGTCTCCACTAAGGTTATTTTGTGTTCCCCTCATGGAGAGCTAGGATAGTCAAGAGCAGTGGTCTTAATTATTTTTTAGTCTCAAAATTTAAATTCTAAATTTATTGATTCCACCTTGTGCTAGTTTTTGAAAGGGATCAGGTGGATTAATCTAACTGCATTCAGAAAGAACTTTGAATCATTCAATGAGGCTGGAGGTTTCACATGCTCTGATATAAAATATTAAGGCGCAATGTTATCCCATATCCAGGTCAACGAATTTCTACCCGCTTCTATACTAATTGCAAGGAAGTGCAATTAAGTGAATTCCTTGTTTAAGGGTACTTGCGGTTAAATTAAAAAGTTTTAACTGCGCTTCTCCTTTGAGTTTTCCTAGATCCAAACCTTTCTAATGTGTAAAATGAAATGAAAGTTTTAATCAAGCTTTCGAGTTAATTGCATGGATGGAAATGTCAAGGCATTTTAATTTTCAACAAACAACGAAAAAACATGAAATCGATATGTATATCACAAAGCAAAGTTTCACGCTTAAAACTGACAAAAAATAAGAAACAAACGAAACAATTTAGTGAATTTGGCACAGAACCACTAAGCAAGGTTAGTAGAGACTGAGAGAATGAAATCGTGTCATATTGCAACCAGCTGAAGTTGCTGGGAAACATGACAAGGAATCTGGTCACAAGGCTTTACTTGCAAGCACAGCACGGGTACAAATGGCAACAACTGACTGCACAAAATATCATAGTATTCATATCTACACCAAAATCTTCCCATTCCAACGCTGACTGGTCGTTTTATACGCCTGCAGATTCCCTGTTTATTTTCGGGGATCAATCCGATTTGACTTACGGGCCATGCTTCCCTTGCAAGGTGCGCATTTATCTTATGACGTGCGGAAGGCGAGCCCTCTTTCTTTTGTTCGGCCCGCTTTTCCGGGCTTTTGTTGATGGGGATCGCCTTTTCCGACCCACGTTTACAATCCTTTGCTGAAGGCGCTTGCCCGTTTGTTCTTTTCACGCAAACATGGCATGCTGGAGGCCCGCGTCCAATTGCCTCCGCTTCACTGCAATCATTCATCACTAATTGAGCAAATTCAAGTGTTGCTGTTTAACAAAATCAAGCCGCAGACCACTGTACCAGTTTTTCCAAAAAGAATTCTTATTTGGCGCTTCTGCGAAAAACCGATTGCCAAACTGCTGAAGTACTTTCCGATTAAAATCGAATTTATTTGCTTGAGTAATGACAGTCTCTTTCGCACGAATTGGTTCTATCACAGCCGTAAGCTGTTTCACTACATTCTTTTGATTTCGGAACAAGGTCTGCCGTCAGTCGTATATATCACCGCGATAAGCACTGTGCACTTCAGTCAACTGTGACTGCAGATTTTAATACATGAGAAACTGTCCTTAAAATAATTTGTAGCTTGAGTTGCTGTCAATGAATTATACACCAGTATTCGTGATTTTCACCGCTAACGCAGTTTTTCTCATGGTCACTTTCCCAAGTATTTTTCAAACGTGTTTGATCATAGCTATAAATTTCATTTTTTCCTGAATTTACGCCCAAAAGGCCAGGTATATATTGTTTTGATTACCTGTCATTTTGAAATGTACTTAATTTTCATCATATTTGTCTCCGTTAAATTAATTTTAATGACTGAAACAAAATAAATTTTAACAACGGCAAAGATTTATTTTTTCAAAAAACCTTCGCGAAACCCTTGGGTACATTTCTTCAACCTTCAGTTAGCTCGCTAATTAGAAATCACTGCTCTAAATAGTTACAGATGCCTCGAATAATCGAGTATTGTGTCTTTGTGACAGAAGGTTAATCCACGAAAAACTTAAGGAGCACGAGGCAAACTTAGGCAAAAAAGAATATGGGTACGGGAACATTCTATTACATGAAAAATTCACCAGAACTCTTCGAGTTCCAGGGATCAGCCGTCACGTATTTCTATTTCATCCAATAACGAAATGCTAGAATGCGCATGTGATTGTCTAATGCCCATCGCGGAACACGGCAAATGCCAGTCTTATACTCAGATAAACTGACTGCAAAGCAAAGACAGAAAATCTACGGTGGATGTAACCATAACGCAAGCTCTACAATGCAGAATCAATTATACTTCTTCAAAAAAGACCGTGCTTTTGAATTGTCATTCGAAAGTTATCAGGTTGCAATTTGACTAAATGTCATTTACTTTTCATGGCTTCTAGGCGAGCGAATTCGTCTCGTTCCTGAAACTGGAAGTAGACGATTGCGTACTACAGTGATAACTTACCTGTTAATAATTGATTTTAAAACTGGAATATTTCTGGCTAAAATGTTTCTGTACCGAAGCGCATACTCTCACTCGATTAGCCGTTAAATTGCTGTCTCAACAGATACCCATATTTCAGTTGATGCACATTGATAAATTGAGAGATACTGACATTAAAAAAGGGGTAAAATTATTTTCTTCAAATCTGCATGGAATAATTTCACAGAGTCTTCAGGTGATATCCAGGAATATCTGTTTATTGTGGTTCTGCAATGTGGGTAAAGACTAATTGGTTTTCATCATCACGTTTCTGAGTCAATTCAGAAGGAGCTATGGTGGGAATATACAATCGCATTGCCTCATCACATTCACTGATTTAGAATCAATTTTACTGATCTAAGGAGATAATACTCTGCAGAAAAATTCTTTGAAAGCTAATCACGCGCTAATTGGAATTGCACAGTTTTCATAATTCGCTTTGAAATCAGAACACATATCGCTAAATATCGCAGTTACAATAAACCAGCTTTTTGAAGCAACAGTATAAAAAGACGTTTAACCAACCAATCTGTTATTGCGTATCATTTCTGTGCAATCTAAGTTCCAGGCACAAAGCAATTAAGAAATATTACTCAAACTAGAAACATGATAATGATGCCAGATTCCAATTCATTATAATCGAACATTAAATAACTGTTTTCCACTAAGACCCATCCTTTTCACTGGTTGCGCGTCACCTCTATATACTTCGGTAAGCCTTGTACAGCTCCCGTAATACAATATGCTTTCTTCATCTACTTTTGTTCTCATAATACTAGGTAATTGTTCCACATCCGAAGGCGGGAGAAGTTGCTGTTAGCTGCAGCATGGAAGAATTCGGTAATTCTTCGATTACAGAACTTGTGCCGCGTGAAGTTCACCTAAAATAGACAGTGGCTGCACATTTGACTCATACTTTTCGTCCATGCTCTTTAGATAAGTCTACCAATATTGCTTCATACACAATATACCAAGCGCATTTAACATGATACAACGCCAAAATTCTATATTATCCAACACATGGGGATATTACTAATTCATTCATTCATTCATCTTCAGTGGCCGCTTCTCCATTCGCATCGTGGAGGCAGACGCATCAGACAGTCCTTTCAACTTTCCCGGTCCTGTGCCAGGGTCTGAGCTTCGGCAGAAGATGAAGGGAGTCTGACAAAGACTAAATTCATACATTTGCACACGGACCATTAATCATGGCCGTTCCGTGGACTGTTGGGCATGAATCAGTTCCTTAGCTGTCGGACATTACCCGGGCCATGTCGAGACGACTAAGAAAGCCCATTTCAAGAGCTTGTACCCTGGTTTGAACCTTTTTATTCATGGTCCATGATTCATGATCGAAGGTAAGCACGGAGATAAATTCGACTTGAACATCGAGACCTTAGTTTTTTGAGTGAGTTCTGCTTAGTTCTGTTTGAGTGAGTAAACACAGTGGATCGGACCAGTTCAAGCACAACACCACTGGGTACTCCAATTCGCCAGTCGATTACTTCCTACTTCCTCAAATTTTT